TACACAAAAAATGAGGAATTTTAAATAGTTAATTTCATATGAATATCGATATATTTTTGTTATGCATAAAGTATTGTATATTGATGCATATTACTTAAAATTCAAGATTACAAGTAATTATGCATAAGTACAACTTATTAAAGCTCGATATTTGAATTCGTATAAATAACTGCGGATAAACATAATCAAATAGAGGATGAACATCTCATTTTAAAATGTAAAAAATCTAAAATATGATTAAAATAATTATCGAGTTCCAACAAAATAAATAATTATTATCTTTATAAAAAAATTATATTATTAAATCAAATATAAATTACTTTGTTATTGTACATAAATTAAATTATAAAAAAATTGAATTAAAAAATTACACAAAAAAATTGAGGAATTTCAAATAGTTAATTTGATACTAATATCGATATATTTTTGTCAAATTTTTATGATATCTTCAAACATATATTTTATTCAAAAATGAAAACATCATCGTTTTCTCAAAATCATATAAAGTCATATTATAACATCGACTGAGATAAATAATAAAATGAAATATTAAAATCACGATGTATATCGCTGCATTGCGCAAGTACGGTTCTAGTTAGTAAAGGGTTTACATAAGTTATATGTATAAGGATAAGAACACACTAAATCCAAATTAAGACATAATCAATTTTCATATCGCCTAAAACTCTCCTAATCACAATTAGCAGGAGGAGACTCTCTGCGTTGCTCGTATCGAATTAGCATTCGAATCAAGTATCTCCATCGCTATCTTCCAAAAAGCCGGCCTCTTTTACAGGTATATCTTCATCTTCATCTTCATCTTCATCTTCTTCCAATCATCCATAGATAACATATTTCTGACCTTCAAAAATTAATGCAAACCCTTCCTTTTTTTAACCTAAAAATGGATTCTTTTCACCCCATAGAACTTATTAACTTCACCCTCTTCGTCTCCTTGTCTGCAGCCATGGTTGTGAATGCTGAATCTGCACAGCTCTGCAAACCAACGGACCATGGTCCAGTGGTACCCACAACCCCACTTGTTGTATTTCTTGAAAGCATCCAAGAAACTGCTCTCAATACATTTGGACCGATTAAGTTTGACCCAAAACTGTACGTTGACTTATCATTGAAGTTTGATCTTCCGATTACCAAACAAGCCTTCAATAATCTCCCCAGAACAGAAAATGGGTCTGTGTTAGCTTCTGATTTGAATGGTTTCTTGAAGAAGTTTATGAATGGGGCAGAAGAGGATTTGGTGTATGTGGAACCAATTGACTATGTGGCTGAACCAGATGGGTTTTTGCCCAAAGTGGTGCACCAGGGTGTGCGAGATTGGGCTCTTGAGGTGCATTCACTTTGGAAAACTTTGAGCCGGAAAGTGTCGAATCAGGTTTTAGAACATCCAGAATTGCATACTTTGCTTCCTCTGAAACACCCCGTGATTATACCTGGATCACGATTTGAAGAAGTTTATTATTGGGATTCTTATTGGGTAATAAGGTGGGTTAACTCATAGTTCATATGTTACTCTAATGTTTTGCTAATAGTAGCCAACGAAAAACAACCTTAAATATCGTGAGAAGATAAGAAGAGAACGTTAAGGGAAGGTTGTTCTCAAATTCACTGAAAAAAGTGAAAAAATCTACTTGAAGATGATTATGTGAACTAATGTTACTGATTATTCATATGGGTTCCGATTTACATCTTTAAATGGATTTTTTCATTGATTCCCTTATAAACTCTTCATATTTAGTCTTCTTATTTGAAGCTAATGTGAGGGGCTTTATTGTTGATTATTTGTAAGTGAATGTTTTTTAATTGAGAGGGACAGGTTTGGAAAAAACTTGTTTTTTTGCATAAAAGTCCGTCCTAGAAGGTTACTGAATAAGTCATTTTCTATAAATTTAAGCCACTACCAAACAGAATAGCTGACCAAATAAGCTGACTCCCCCATTAAACTTGTTAAGCTGCTAACAAACATGCCCTAAGTGACCATTTAGCATCCTAAAAAGTCCATAACTTTGATTCAAATTCTATTGAATGTTATAGTAGCATCCAATTTGGAGTAGTAAAAGTACCCACATCCAGTTATCATATGTTGATATCTAAATGATTTGATCGCATATGTGCGTATTTACTTGTTTATTGAGGAATTTATATCGAGCAGGGGACTGTTGGCAAGTAAAATGTACGAGACAGCTAAGGGGATCGTTATCAATCTGATTGACTTGGTCGACACTTATGGATATGTTCTAAATGGTGCCAGAGCATATTATACAAATAGAAGGTATCCATCTTTATTGAATATTCTGATGTTTATAATGGTTCTTCCCGTATGGATAGAAAAGTAGATTTGTGAGTTAAAAGTTATTGGGTCAGTCTGCTCCTTTCGGCTATTAAGCATAATTATATTGGTGGAAATATTTTCAGTCAGCCTCCGCTCCTGAGCTCGATGGTCATTGAAGTATATAAGCAAACTAGCGATACAGAGTTGGTAAAAATAGCTCTCCCAGCCCTGATAAAAGAACACAACTTTTGGAATTCAGGTAAATCTAATCGCGATAACGGGTTCTTTTTTGCTTAGCTGAACTGTTACTTATACTGCAATATGTTAAAGGCATACATAATGTGACGATTGAGGATGCACATGGAACCGCTCATAATTTAAGCCGATACTATGCTATGTGGAATCAACCTAGGCCAGAATCGTGCACTATCGTAAGATATCCCAGAAAAATTCAAGATTGTGTCTTAATATCATTCGTCTTTTTCATCTTCAAACCAATGAACATAAGAAAATTTTCGGGTTTTTTGCTTCATAGGATAAGGAAACTGCCGATAAACTTTCAACTGATTGTGAGAAAATTCAGCTGTACCGTGAGCTGGCTTCTACTGCAGAAACCGGTTGGGATTTTAGTACCAGATGGATGAAGTAAATACAGTTTTAACCGTTTCCATTTCTTTCTTTTCCATTTTTTCATGTTTTAACTGATGGTTTGTGTTATAGGAATACGTCGGATCTCACGACCTTGTCTACAACAACAATTCTACCCGTTGATTTGAATGCTTACATACTAAAGGTGTGAATTAAACACCATTTTGTGTATATCGTGTGCTTCTAGAATGATTGCCATCGTTAAGTTTTGGTTTTTATGTTTTCCCAGATGGAACTTGACATTGCGTTCTTGGCAAATGTCATTGGAGAAAGTAGCCATGCTTTACACTTCACCAGAGCTTCAAAAGCACGAAAGAAGGCAATGGACGCTGTTTTCTGGAACGAAGAGAAGGGGCAATGGTTCGATTACTGGCTCAATGCTAGCTCTATGTCCAAGGTACGGGGCTACGTAAATTAACAGCACCAACCTTGACGTAGGGGCTATTTGGTTGGTTTTCCATTAAGTCATGTATGGATAAAGTTGTCTATGTGGATTAATCTGTCCCTATAGATTAGGAAGGTTTTTTCCATATATAGAAGGAACGTGTTTTCTAATTGGAATGGACATGTTTGGAAAAAACTTGGTTTTCTGCATAAAGCTCCCTCCTAGAAGCTTACTGAATAAGCCACTTTCTATATCATTAAGCCACTACCAAACAATCATGTATAACCGACTGAATAAGCTGTGCGTCCCATTAGGCCCTTACCTCTGGTAGAAAGTAGTCTGCTCTCCGCTCTCGTAAAAACTTAGAAATACACTAGAAGGCATTTTGCAAAACCAGCTTTAGGAAAAGGTCATTGAGCTAAATGGCCCCGAATGTTATCTTGTGGACATTGATGTTTCGGACCCTGAGACTTGGTGCATTGGTCTGGGCAGCACGGCTGCACGCCATAAATGTTCTATTGGCTAACGAAATGTAATGATTTTAGGATGTTTATAAATGGGATGTGTTGGACCAGAATCAAGATATATTTGCCTCTAACTTCATCCCAATATGGGTTCAATTGTTCAACTCAGGTTCGTTTATTATCTCAGTGAGGTTCGTATGCTCAATAATTTGTGTTTCTTATCATTCCGTCTCAGTTACAGTTTTTTGAATTGTCGCTGTAGAACTTAAGCTTCATTATGAATGAAAATTTCTTCTATATTCACTTATATTCATATGCGAAGATGAAGCCAAGGTTGAAAAGGTTGCACAAAGCCTTGAAAGCTCAGGCCTACTCCATGCTGCTGGTATTGCAACTTCATTGAAGAATTCAAGCCAGCAATGGTAATATACACACACACACATATATATATATATATATATATGCACATATATATATATATACACATATACATACATATAAATTATTATAGGGAGGTTCAGGGGAAAACCCCTAAAAAAAATGAAAAACTAAGGAACATTCTAATAACAATTCATTTGTACGGTATGCACATATGCATACAAGGACTTGAAGATGTTTCCTGGTTTCTATGCATGTATGTATGCTATGCATATGTGCATACTGGAAAAATTACTTACAAATTACTTGTATGCAAATGTGTATACCATACAGATGAATGGTCACTAGGGTTTTCATTCTTTTGCGGTTTTTCCTCAACTTGACCCTGACCCTATTTATGTGTGTGCAAGAAACCTTGAATTTGTGTATTTAGAGGTGCGTTGTATGATGAAGAAATTGATTTGTTGTTGAAAACAGGGATTTTCCAAATGGTTGGGCTCCGGTGCAACACATGATCGTTGAAGGTCTGGTTAGGTCTGGATCCGAAGAAGCTGGATCACTAGCGAAAGATATTGCCATAAGGTGGATCAGAACGAATTATGCTACTTATAAGAGTTCGAAAGCAATGCATGAGAAATATGATGTGAGCAAATGTGGAGAATTTGGAGGTGGTGGCGAATACGTACCACAAGTAAGCATATTTAAAATCTGGTCTATTTAATAGTTTTCATACTAAAAGGTAAAGATAGACAAAGTCGGACCACCCTGAACCGTGACCGGTTTGGCCCACCGGTTAAGTCCCGGATACACATTTCAGAAAAAAGTGGGACCTGTTACATTCAGTCCCACTTTTTTTGCTCGGGATGGGACCGGAAGGCGCGGTTGCACCCCAACCACTTGGAAGGGGACCGATTTGTGTCCATCTCTATTAATGGGTCATTTATAATTGTTGGTTGTTTTAGATGAAAATGTTGGTTTGAACTTGCAGACTGGTTTCGGGTGGTCAAATGGAGTTGTGTTGGCGTTCTTGGAAGAGTTTGGATGGGCTCAAGATCTAAACCCACATTGCCAGTAGAAGCAAATGGGCCTGGGTTTGGCCCAATATCGTCCTTTTTTCTATATTACAAACAATTATAAACCATTATAGATTTGTAGTTGACGAAATTAATTCAAAATAAAGTACATAGAAATTTTGTAAAAGTTCCACTTGATTATACTTTTAAAAACATAATAAACCAAGGACAACATTGTTCAAGGTATAATATTCACTTGTGAATAACAAATGCATATTTCTTCTTTATTCCCTTTCTTGGTTTTATTATCACTATTAGTTTGTGGTTATATTATATAAAGAGAGATGAGTTTAAACGAGAACAATAACTAAATAAGATACTATGAAAACGGCTAAATTACATGTAAAATCATGTGATAAATTAACGGTCAACAAAAGGGTGTGCGGGATATCTGGCCCGCGAATTGAGGTCGCAGTTAAAGTCGGTGTGAATTACATATGATTTTAGTTATTTTTCTCATATGAAATATTCAATATTTAATAAATTTAATGCAATTTTTGTAATGATTAAGAGGTAAAGATAAAAAGGAAAGAAGGGTAATAAAAGAATCACATGGATAATAAAGGTTAGGTTAGAGATGGTGACATGCACTTAGGCAGGCAGGCAGGCTCAAATGATTACTTAATCCTATGGATTTAGATTACTTCATTATTACACTTTATCTAGTCTTGTCCAATGCTAACCATATGTATGTAATATAACACGATTAACTCATACTAATTCGATAACTTTTAAATAGTTAAACGCGCAACTTGTGATGTCATCATAAACCCGATGTGTATGATTCCTATGAGGTTCGTTACTCACTTAGTAGGAACATAACACGCATTCACGGGATAAATAACTTTTATAGTTTTGATAACAAAAAGTGGATTTAAACTGGAAATCGTATGTGATTAAGGAACGGCCAATCCAATTATTCAGAGGTATACTTGAACGATTTTTAAATCACATATGATATAAGCGTTCTCGTGTTTTATTACTTTGACCATGTTCTCTCTAGAACGGATAGCGGTGGGGTATAAGCATCATAGTCATTTTTTCTATATATGTTTTCCACATAGTTTAGGAGCCAAAAAGCCTGATGTGTGGGAGATTAGCTATCAAATTTGTATAGTTTAAAATATAAAGTGTATGAATATCACATATATATATATATATATATATATATATATATAAAATATTAGTGGTGGTGGTGGGCAAAGGGGTTGATGATATTGTGATTGAGAACTCTTTAAAGTTTATAATGTTGTATTTTTATACATAAAGTTGACAACCTTATTTGAAAAGGATCAATTAATGAGATAATTAATTTCATCAAATCACTTGTTAACTTATTCATATAATTTAAATATAATGATTCCAAAACTTTGGATCATATACTATTGAAAAAAATAATGTAATTAGTAAATATACAGACATAGGATAATGTGAGATCAACAAGTTTTTATGAGACACATAAGACCATAAAATAACACTAAAATTTCACAGTAAAACAATGTAAAGGGACAAAAAGAACATTCACACCAAAAACACTATGAAAGTTTGTTTTTATACCTTCATCGTGTTTTTAGTTCCAGATAATCGTCATTAGATGTTGCTAACGTCAACTTTTTGTTGATAAATTGTTTCGTTTTATTAATTATGTAATGACAATTTAAATCATCGACCGATATTTAATTTTTCTTTGATAAACTGCATAAATCAAAAATCCAAAATACTTTATGTATGGGGGAGATCATTAAGGATTATAATAATTTTGGCCATGAAAAAAGCATGGCAATCATATGAATTGATGACTTCATTCGAGCACTACCATTTTATATTTAATTTAAAAAACAAAATTAGATTGGGTTATCAGTGGACAGATTCTCGATCATTTTATTTATTTATTTATTTTCTGGTTTTTAATTTAAATTGTTTATCAATTAAAGTCATTTTCGTAGATTACATGCTCTAAAGTCGTGTTTTACTAGTCAAAGGTATCTGCCTACCAACCGGGTGTTTGAGATTGTTTATTTAAAACAATTTATGTTTTTTTTTTATAAAAGTGTTTATTAACTTATGTGGTATCAGATCGGAGTTTTGTAAAAAGTGTTTAGATTAGCTTATAATTGTGTCAAAAAGCAATAAGCTGATAAGTTGTTTTTTAGTATTTGACAAATTTTGATTATATATGTAAAATGATCAAAAAGGACAATCGTCTATATTATTGACTGAGTGTTTAAGATTGCTTATTAACTTTATTTGATTTTTGAACATGTAAAAATTTATTTTTCATCATTTATAATAATATCTTTGACAAAAGTTTATATCAATAAGATTAATAATTAACAAACATTAATAAAACAGGGTTAAAATGGTAAACTGATAATAAACAGTTTTTCATAAGTCAAGAATGATTAACTTATCAAAAACTGCTTATTACCGGTTTGACACCGGTATAAACAGTTTTATTTTTCCTCATCTAAACACTAGCATTTAGCTTATCACTGGTATCAGACTGAAATAAGTCAAAAATCATCTAAAATAAGCAATCTCAAACACCCTCTAAAAAGCTAGTACCTTTTTTTGGATTAAAAAAATTTAGTAATAAAATTTGACTTCTTTTTCACTCTAACGATAATTTTTGTTCTGAAGTGTACTAATGAAAATTGAATTCTTTCTGTTTCATATTATTTTGAGTTTTGACTTGTAGCAGATATATATTATAACTACTAATGACACGAGTGTTAAGTTATATTGTAATTTTTGATTATGTAGATATCAAGTTAGAAAAAGTCTCGACCTTTTTTTTAAACAGGTAGAAAATGTACCTACAATCATCCCCATCCCATATACTCCAGAGTGCTTCATAGATAACTCAGTGGTGAATCTGGCAATGTTTGATTGAATCGGAAGCACTTTCTTCAACAATTAGAGTCAACAAATGTGTTGCGTAAAAACCATATTTTTGCCTACAACTTTAGCGTATCATTGGAAAAAAAACGTTAGCTTTCTTAATAAACACCTTAATTACAATATATAATCACAAAAAGAAAAATAAAGGGAGAAGAGGAAGAAAATGAAGTGAATATATATATATATATATATATATATATTTGATTAACCTGGATATTCTACCTGCTATGCAAGCCGACTAATATCATGACGACTACCTGTTTTGTAGATAACCTGGAGTCACCATATTTAAACCTCTATAACCATAAAGGGATTTTTATTTATCCTTGATTTAAATGTGGGACCTCCTAATTATATTTATTATTTTGCATATCAAAACAAAATCTAATCATTTTTAATATGAAAAAAAAAAAATACAAAAATTAAAGGGATGAAGGGTTGACAGAGGTCAGAAGAGTCCATACGAACTGCGTCCCTGGTTGAATTATTGGAACCTCAATCGGGAATCTTATGACCTTTTCAAAGTCAAAGATTTTAACATACAAGTCATAGTCTATCAACATGTGTCACCTTTTTTATTTATTTATTTTAACCCTAGCCTTTGACTTTTAATCCAATCCTTTTACCATATTCCAATATTATATACAGGGGTGGAGATTTGGGATCAGGTTAAAGGTTTTTGGTGATATTTATAATGTCAATTCTCAATCTTTGGATTAGATTTACAATCTGAATATTCATAATCACAAAATTGTCATGAGACTTTTCAATAATCATAAAATTGTCACCGCACAACTTTAGACAATTAGATCATTAGTTTATAAAGTTGATCAATGAATATAAATTGGTCACGGGTCTTGCGAAAAACTATTGACATCACGTGAACCCAACCTTATATATATATATATATATATATATATATTAGTAATATATATAGGATTGAAAAGTAATGTTGAATCTATATTAGTTTGCATGTAAGATATCTATTATTTAGGTAAAATGCTGAACCTAAATACTTAGATGATTGAGGTAAAATTTAGGAGTGTTAATTTTTTTTTTTTTGAAATTGAAGAACCCATTGAAACTAAAATGGTTTTGGATTAAACGGATCAGTTTCATTTTTTTAATTCTTATTTTGGTTAAACTGGAAAGCAAATTGTATCATAATTTTATATGTTGTATCTCTAGATAATTGGTTTGAGCATGTGAAACAACTAATATATAATAAACCATTTTATATTAAAGCTAAAATGAATGGATATTGAGATGAATTTAATAAAACAATACCTGGATAGGGAGATGAATTTGATAAAACATTACAGAAAAACTAGATATTGAGATGACTAATATTGAAATGAATTTGTTTCTTTTGCTTTTGGTGAAGGTAATTTTTTTTTTTAAAACGAAATCCATATTTTTTAAACTTTTGACTAGGGTCAATAGACCCCATTTGCTTGCATGTGGATCTGCCACTGCTTAGGGACTGTTTATTCGACTCTTACCCGGTAAATGCTCATAGATAAGAGTCAACATTTTCACTCAACTTACTAGGTAATATTTTAATCCATTAAAACAGCTCTATGTGCAACATTTTTATCCAGTAAACATTTACTGGGTATTGATCTCATCTTCCTTTGTTAAGAAAGAGTCGTCTAAATTTACATTGATAACTCGTCCTATATTGATGAAAAATGAATCTCGTAAGTTAATTGAGGTAAGATGTTGTAAAAATCATTCCACGTGGGTATAATTTTGATTTCAATCTTAAATACTAAATGACTTTCTTCAATTCTAATAAAAAAATGTTTTTGTAAAGTGAAAATTTGATATTTGATAATAAAAAAACTATAAACAGTTAATTGATACAAGAGATGTGTAATATCCAAAAAGAGAATATGTTGTACATAAAATATATCAATTTGAATGAATTGTGTACATGTGAAATTGTATTATAGGCCTTAAACTATAGACTACTACTAATTTATATCGTTTAAATTGAATTATCAGTTATTGAGTCCATCTGCTATTTTTTGGTTTGGTCGCTAATTTTTTTTTATAAATGTCGATTCTTGTACTATTGAGATGATTGGGTAAACAGTATCGAATGTAAGCAGTTTCTAAAATGGTGTTTGTAACATTTTAGACAAATCTCACACCGTCGATGAAGGAAAAAAATGGACATGACTGACAAGAACTGCAAAATATATATAAATAATAACATGGTCCATACTAGTGGAACATGAAATTTATAAAAAAAATCTAAACACGAATGACTCACCTGAACCAAGACGGCTTGGGGGTTAAACTGTTTGGTTAACCAAAT